ATGTAATGGTTAGTGGTCTATACGAGCGAATCTTGTCCTTTTCTCCCTTGCCTTTATAGATCAAGTTCATTCTACTTTGTCGCCAACTGTCCGGTATTTGTCCGTCCTTTAAGCTTTTTTCTACTGCTTTTAACAATGCTTCTTTAGTGTTATGTCCTAGTTCGTTAATGAGGCTAACGGGAATCCCATCTAAACCCGCGGCAGTGCGCTTTGGAATTTTTCCTTCGGCCTTTTTCCAGTTGAAATTATCAAGTACTAGCTCTTCCTCTGTTGCTTTCTCCGCCACACTTTTACTCACCGGGGAGATCCCCTGGACGCTCTTTTGAAACGAATCGGCTGTTACCTTTTGGATGTAACCTAGCGCTTCGTACCCTTCCAATTGATTTCCTCCTTCATCTAGAATATGTTGTTGCGTTGTGACAGACTTCCTACCTAGCGCCTTTATGTGGCTCCAAAAAATCCTAGGCGCGGCCTCCTTTTTTTCGTGTATCTCTGTCATCCAGCGTTCACTTTCACCTTTAATTTTTGCCTCTACCAATTTCTGTACAAGGGATTTTTTCTCTAAATATATTTCCCATATTTTTTTGACTTCGTCCTGCGGCCGCTTCTCCTTTTTTGCCTTTCTATGCTCCCGTGATGCTTCGCGTCGCTTCTCGATCGCCTCCCGGATTTCCTTGTTGCACCAACTTTTTGGCTTCCTTTTTCCTTTCCAGCAAACAGTTTTCTTCTCTTTCCCTATCTCCTTCGTCATTAGATGAAACAGCTCACTATACTCCCAGTCCTTGCCTGGTATTTCGCCTACTTCTTCCTCGACTCTTGCGGCTATATTTATTATTTGTTTGTCATTTAAATACGAGCTGCCAGACTTTGATTCCATGCTCATATTTTCAGTTTCGTATCCCATTTGTAATGTTATTCGTTTATGATCACTACCCAAGCTGTTAATGCCTTCCTCGTCTATCCTCATTTCTGTCAGTTTGTGGTAAATTCCTTCAGTCATGAGACAATAATCAATACTTGATTGCTTGTTTCCGACTTCCCATGTGATCTGGCCGTCACATTTAGGCCCCGTGTTAACTATCTCCAGACTATGTTGCTCGCAAAGATCTAGTAATAACTTCCCATTGGTGTCTGAATATCCGTCAAGGTCATGTATGTGGGCATTCATGTCCCCTAGAAGGATGATTTCGGCCCCATTACCAAATTCCTTAATATCCGCACTCATGCAATCCACTATCTCCTTATTCTTTTCTCTGCAGTTATTCCCCGTCCACAAGTAGGCTACCCCTAGCCACGTTTCCTTTCCACCTACTGTGCCCAGAACCCAGAGGTGCTCTGAACACGTCTGTTTCACTCTAACCCATTTGGCTCCGCGATGAATTAGCATTCCTACACCCCCACCTTTCCTTTCCGATATGGTCCTGTTACACCCTTCCCAAACATAATTTTCAATATGTGGTGGCTCTTCCAAGTCTCTAAGGTGTGTTTCTGTAACCGCATACACGCCTATCTGTTCTTTTTTTAACTGCTCCTCAATCTCTAACCATTTTGCCTTCTTTCTGCCACCCTGCATGTTTATGTAACTAATTGCAACACGCGCCTTTTTCCTTTTTCTTTTACCTTTTTTCTGGTTTTTCGCAATTCTACCTGTCAAAGCGTCCTCCTGGTTGTTTTCCCTGTTACGAGCTACCCCGGACTCCGAAGGGCCCGTGAGCCCCCCAAAAAAGCTACTGCGCGTCCTGCCAGTCGCCAGCCCACCTCGTGTCCAAGCCTCTTATCGAAATGAATCTTGTCTCTTTGGAATCCACCCCACCTGTGCACTTCCCTGTTTAAATCCACTACCTCGAAACCCTTCTCTCGACTAATTCGCCATATCGCTTTGTTTGCGTCGACAACCGCTCTTTGCAGGTTGACGTTGCGTACTGGTACTTCCGGTACTGTGCATACTACAATTTGCACCTGGGGGGACACGGCGCGCATGTCATCCACCCCTTTCGCCAAGGTCGTCGCTAGTCCTGACGATTCTTTTTTCAGGACGTCATTTAACCCTCCCGCAATTACAACGAGGTTACGATTGTTAGCTTTAGCTGCGAGTTGTTCACCCGCTTGACTCATTACTGTCCCCAGCGTTTGTCCTGGGAACGTCCCTATCGCAACTCTCTTGTCGCCTTTCACCCTTTCTTTGATTGCCGCTGCGCATCGGACTAAATTTGAGTCACCGGCGATGATGACCTGTTCAGACATTCCTTCTGAAACCTGCACCTGGCTGCTGACTAGGTGACTAGCGTGAGTCACGGCTGCTGGTTTGCTCCCTCCCTCCCTCAAAACTACTTCCCGGTAGCTGGGCCCTGTGGCCAATGTATCTGCCTTTGTCATGCCTGTTTCCTTCATCTCTCCCGCACGGGGGGTCGTCGTCATAATGCTCCCACCGTCACCTTCGTCTTCGTTCCCTTTCACGACCTTCGATAGACCCTTCTCGGCTGCCCGGAGCCTTTCTTCCATGGCTGACGTTTTCTCTCGCTCCTTCGCCAATGCGTTCTCCAGCTCTGCGATTTTCTCCATGAGCCCACTCTGGACCGCCATCATATTTTTCATTTTCTCCTCGAACTCGCACCGTCTACACTTGGCGTCATCTTCTGCTTTCTCCTCCGCACTAACTTCCACCTTCCGCCCTACCCCGCACTCTGAACACTTTACGGTCTTTTTGACCATGGCTAGCTCAGTTTACCGATGCCCACGTGTTAGAAAACTGTACTAAAATACACTGGTCTAAGCCAAAAAGAACCACAATAATAAATAAATAAGCTACACTTCACAGCACCTGCGCATGCACGTGGTCGGTCTACGCGCAGGCCTCAGCCACGTGGTGGCTGGAGAAAAAAAAGACACAGTACAAAATACTAAAAAAAAAGAAAAAAAAACGTACACCGTAATAGACCTAATCAAGCTTTACGCTAGCGCCTTACGTTCTCATAACGCTACATACAGAGGCAAGCTGGAAACATGCAAAAACACTTATCTGTAGCTGTCATTCCGGAGCTCTCCAAAAACGCGTCCGACCTCCAAAAACGCGTCCGACGTGTACTCATCGAACTGCCTGCAGCAGCGCCGCCGTTTGTCCACGGCCGTTTCATGAAGCAAGGCAGCGCTCTCTCTCTGCTGCCGCAATGCCGCTCGCGCCACCTTCCCCTCTAGCCACCAAATCTATGGGGCGCGCGCGCTTATTCTCGCCCCTAGCAACCGAAGCATGTGGTGCGACCGAGTGTAGGAGAGAGTATGTGCAGTGCAACTCCCCTCCTTCTCTCGCCATTTGCTCTTTCTTCACCGTGCGACCCTCTCTTCCGTCCGCTCGAGCCTCACTCTAGATCGTTCGCTGGCTGGACGCCTCTCAAGAACATCCGGAATTGTGTATGTGTGACAACGCTAACGCCGAGCCGAGAACGCTGGCGCACTGCTCTTCAATACGCTCGCTCCTCACTGTCTATTGTTCACTAGCTGGGCGCCTCTCGAGGTGATAGCAGAAGTCGGTGAAGGCGAACGTCTGACCGCAAAGGTATCATTTCTCGGTGCAAGAAATATATTCGCATTTCCTCAAGATTTCTTTGGGGAGGTGGGAGCATCATTTAAAGACAATAGCCTTTCTGGTGGACCTTCGACGCAAACATTTTGGTCTGTCTGTCAGTACATTTGTCTGTTTGTCCGCTTTAACGGCACCGTGCACTCGAAACGGCAGTTTCCATCCGCAGCGCCCACCAATGCTGCTCAAGCTTCAGCGTTCATGCTTGTGCAATCGTCAATCAAAAAGCAATTATTTCGCATGTCTGGGGCACCATAACAACACGTATATGCTCTTCATGTGCGTCTTTTACTAGAAAAGGCATACATAAGTAATTTTAAAGACCGTAACGCATATCACGCTGCGCTGGCCATGTAACAATTTCAAGAAAAGGCGAGTGTTTCCAACGCTTTGCTAAGACGAAACAGTGGTGGCACCTACCCGTCGCCTTGCGTTCTACACCTTATCACCTCTGAGACGGGCGCGCACACCCATCTCAGAGCCACGCACTTCGTTTTCCAAGAAAACTGCCAGATGGCGCTCACGCCTCACGTGTGACGTGACTTCATGCACTCGTTCGCCTCCGCTGCACGCTTGAGGCACTCTAACGCAGCGCCTCCAGAATACCATTCACTAATTTTCTTGCACAGGACATCAAAGAAATGTTTTGTTCACTCTCTCCACACGCAAGACTATCGTCTTTCGCCGACATTTGCAGATTTACATGCTGACACGGGGCCAATTTTTTACTAGCAGATGCTGCCTGTGTCAGCCTTGCGAGGCAAGAGAGGTAGGGGGAGCGACATTTGTGACACGAGACACAAGCGTGCCGCACGAGACGCGAGGCGTGAGCATGCGCCGGATCGTAACCGATGTCGCGGCCAATGCCGGATTTGCGAGTAGGTGCGACTATAAAATGCTCCGCATTCATGACAGTGGCATTCCTGATAATGTTACCTTTTTGGAAGGAAGCATTGGCTCTCACCAATTATCAACCACTTGACGAATTTCAGAAAAAAATTTCCTGCCAGATGTTTACAACAGCGACAAAGAAGCAGCTGTACCAAACATATGAGTCACTGGGGCTCTTACACACACGTCCCTACTGAAAAAGGAGTGAGCCAACACTTCCGCTGAAGGTGATGTCAACCGGGCCTTTCGGAAAGTGGTATCTCCGAGACCAAGAGATATTTAGCTACAGTGCTGTCTAGACAGCTTTCATTCACCACCTAACTGAGGAAAGCGAGATAACCTTCATGAAAAGGCAAACAAAGGATTAACTTCACGGTGTACAGCTGCTCTAACGTATCATTAATTCACGTACAGTGTTGCGCGGGAATCCATGGCTGTTAGAGATACATGTAGCTTACACCGTAAATACACAAGCCCTAACCGTTTCTCTCAGAAGTAAAGTTGTTTTTTCTTCCTCCACTGTCCCTTTCAGGCGCTACCTCGAACCATGAAGGTGGTTTCAACTGCGGTGCGGAGCAGGTCTGGGGCTCGCCTGCTGGTTTCCCTGACGGCAGTGACATTCTGGTTGTCACTACATTTAGCTGCAACCGTAAGTTCTACCTTAGCCTTTTCGAACTTTGATCGAGACGCATTGATTTGAAAGAAATTTTCATTTGTGAAACATTGTCACACCGAATTGTAAGAGCATTTGGCTAGGCCTAATAGAGGAAATAACTCAATAAAAAACCAGAAAGTGGCCAGCTGAATAATGACCAGGCTTCACATTTTAAGCTTTTGTAGTCTATCAAATTGTGCAGTAAAACTTTTGCTGTGCTTTCATCTGTTCAATCTGCTTTAGAAAATAATCAAAGTACAGGGAAACCACAACAAACGTTTAATTCGAGCGCACAATATTGCGCCGATGACTGCACGTAAACCAAGCTGGTATCAGAGTACACAAATATTGACGCCTAGCTGACAGAATCTAGCAACCTAGCGCAGCAAATTTAAGACGAGGACGAGAGGGAAGGAGTAGGGTGTCCCTATTCTGGTACTCTACAAAGCAGAAAACACAAAATAATGAAACACAAACGGCGATAACAAACGCTGCAATTTCAACAACCACTATATAGTCCCGAGAAGATTTCGGGGCGCTACGTAGTAGGAGGCCTTATAGTTACTGTATTTGCTCTCTACGGGAGTAGAGTTGCGCATAAATCCACCATATTATTCAATGAATATGCAGTGAAGGTACTCGTCGCGCGCACAAGAAAAACATACGGCGTGATGTTCTGGCGTGGGTGGCATGCCGCAGAATGACTCGCGCCCGCTGAGCAAGATTGCACTGTTGCAGTGAGATGGTATAGACGTCCGACTCTGGAGTTAGATGGATGGATGGATGGATGGATGGATGGATGGATGGATGGATGGATGGATGGATGGATGGATGGATGGATGGATGGATGGATGGATGGATGGATATGGCTGTACCCTTCAGATCGGGTGGTGGCTAGCGCCACCAAGTGGTAATATCTAATGAACCAACAACTAGATTTATTTTTTCTCTTTAAATAGTGAGGTTGAGGACTCGTACTTTGCAGTGAAGGGTATAATTTTCACTCGTGCCTTGACTTTAGCCACCAATCACATAACCTCCTTCTAGTTAATTCTACCCGCTTAAAGTCTATTTTGCCCTACCTGTCCCTAAACCCCAGTGCTTTGAAAAACTCTGCGCCTTATCCTGAACTATAGGGTGAAGCCCTTTACAGAACATTATTAAGTGTTCGGCAGTGTCCTCCTCCTCTTTACACGCACTGTATACCGTGTCTACCCCCTCGTATTTGGCCCGATATTTCTTGGTTCGCAGTACTCCCGTCCTGCCCTCAAACAGTAGAGAACTACCCCGAGTATTATCATTGATCCTTTTCCTTGGCAATTTCCTGCTTAAAAACTCGATAGATCTCTAGTGCGGACTTCTTAATCATGCCAATTCTCCGCGTGTATGTCTCCGTTTCTTTCACTTTCTTCTTGACCGACAGTTCTTTTTGGTTTGGCCACCTGCTGTTTTTTAAGTATTTACCAGTCTATTTCCCGGTTCGCTTCCTCCAACTTGTATCGACATTCTTCATGTACAAGTAGCTTAGAACCTTCCTAGCTGAAAACCTCCCTAATCTTTTTATTGATCATAAAGGATGCTTCCCTTCTACAGCTTAGGAAGATTTCCCTTTTTTTTTTCAACATAATCTGTCGGTTAACCACGCTACTTAGCAGGTCTGTGTTCCCTTGAGACTTCCTGACGTTTTGCTACGACTCTCTTAACTTCCTTATCCCACAAACTCTTGCGTTTGTGTCTTCTTTTCCGGGGTGACTTGTCATTTCTCTTAGCAAGTTATAGCCCAAAAAGTTTAATTGGATTCGTGTACGTCCACACTGTTTTATTATCCACAGTGATTACTTTCTCAATTTGTTTAGTAGCTATTTCTATTCGCCTTTCAGAATAAAAATTTTCCTGTAGTTCCTCATCTTGTCTCTTTCCCACTTTCACTGCTCTTCCAAAACTTAGCTTGAAACGTTTATGATCACTACACATACTTTAGAAGCCACATTCATCTATGTGCATTCGTCTGAGCCTCTCATACATCCTATGCGGCATCAGCGCGTAATGAATTGTCGACTGCAGCCTTCCTACTTCCCATTTTATTTGCCCTTCACACTTGTCATTGCTGTTTCGAATGATCAAACCATGCCTTTCACACATATCCATGATCATTTTGCCTGTCGGGTCAGTATACCGATCTATATCTTCTATTTGTGCGTTCATATCTCCTAGTATATTTATCTCGCATTCGCCTCCTAATTCCTCAGTGTCATTTATTATACACTCTACCATTGCCTGGTTCCCTATCTGGCCTTTGCTCCCGTTTACAAGTACACCAAACCAAGGAGTGTCATTTGTCCTGCCACTTTCCCTTTTAGACATAAATGTTTCTTGCACTCCTGCATGACCCTTTGCAGTCTACTTTTATGAATGAATACCCCAATATCACCACCCCCGTCTCTGCTGCCTTCTGTTCTATTACAATATTACCACGCGTAATCTGGGTTGTTAGGAGGTTGTTCCATGACCCTAACATGTGTTTCTACAAAACAGTATACCATCGGCCTCTCCTCCCTTAGCTGTTCTTCTATGTCTTCCCACTTCAGCCTGTTCCTACCACCCTGCATGTTAATATATTCTTTGTCGGAATTGCCTCGGCCCTTGTGGCTACGTCTATTTCTGCCCTTTCTTAGGTACTGGTGCCACTTTGGAATCGGATCTGTCCATACCATCTGTCAAAGAGTCTCTCTGGTTGTTTTTCTGATTACTAGCTACCCTACACCCCGAAAAGCCCGCGTGCTCCACAAAAAAAGCTACTGCACGTCCTGCAGGTCGCCAACCCACCTCATGACCTAGCCGCCCATTGAAGTGAATTCTGTCTCGTTGAAAACCACCCCACCTATGCACCTCTCCCTTTATTTCCACCACCTGAAAGCCTTTCTCTCGACTCATCCGCCATATCTCTTGGTTTGAGTTGACAACCGCTTTTTGCAGGTCGCCGTCACGCACCGGTACCTCCGGTATTGTGCATATTACTACCTGTACCTAAGGAGAAGTGGCGCGCATGTCATTGGCCCCTTTCGCCAGTGTGGTCGCTAGTCTTGCCGTATCTTCATTTAGGACGTCGTTTAAACCCTTGAAATTATCATGAGGTTTCGTCTATCAGCTAAAGTTTTGAGTTTTGCGCTCGCATGCCTCATGACTGCTTCCATCTTGCGTCCTGGGAATGCGCCTGCTCCAACCCTCTTCATCTCTTACCATTTTTTATTGCTTCTGCGCATCGATTTATATTCGAGTCCCCGGTGATTATCACATGCTGTGGCTTTTCAGCTGGAGCGTCCTGCACCGGGGGGTTTCTTTCACCTGTGACGCCAGCTACTTTGCCCCCTTCCAGCCCCACCACTACTTCGCTGAAGCTGGGCCTTGCGACAACTGAACGGGCTGAACCTGTTTTTTCCAAACTTGCTTGCTCTTTCTTCTTCGCCATTCTGGTTGCCGGTGCCCTACTGTTTTTTTTTCGTCAGCCGCTTCTTTGTTCACCTTCGCTAGTGCTTCCTCGGCAGCCTTCAGCCTTTCTCCTATAGCCTCAATTTCTCTTGCTCTGTCGACAACGCCATCTCGAGTTCGGTGATTTTCATCAGCAGGTCACTCTGGGTAACCATCATTTTCTTCACGTTTTCCTCAACCTCACATTGCCTACAGTTCGCGTCAGCTTCTTCTCCATGCGCTTCTGCACTTGGGTCCATTTTGAAACCTACCCCGCATCCTGAACACTTTACAGCCTTTTTTAACCAGGTCTTTGTGACACCAATTGTCCTTATGAATTGTCTCACTCGATTATTACAAAGCACGATTCCTGCCCTAAGAAAAAAAGAAATTCCAAGCTCTTCTACCCAAAATTTGCATGTTCATTGTACGTGCAGCTCCCCAACTGGGTGGCAAAAAAAGCAAAAAACACACTCTCGTGCACAAACTAGTAAATACCTGGTGCCTAACCACCGAAAAAGCCGTACGAAAAGCCGTCCGAGGGCACGGCACATGCCAAGCGAGCAGGATGGCTAAACCGCTGCTGCTGCCTTTGCAGGCACTGACTTGGATCATCGCCGTGAATTCTTCGGTCGACAACGGTGACGTCAGCGATCGCAGGCGTTCTTAAGAACGGACACAAGGACGGCTACATCAGAGGGCACGGCACATGCCAAACGGGCAGGATGGCTAAACCGCCGGTGCTACTTTTGCAGGCACTGACTTGGATCATTGCCGTGATTTCGTCAAGCAACGTGCGCGGGCAGTTTGCACTCCTGTTGCATGACTACGGAAACAATACATCGGACATCGCATTGGACAAACTTCGGTTGACAACGGTGACGTCAGCGATCGCACGCGTACTTAAGAACGGACACAACGACGGCTACATCAGAGGGCACGGCACATGCCAAACGGGCCGGATGGCTAAACCGCTGGTGCTACTTTTGTAGGCACTGACTTAGATCATCGCTGTGATTTCGTCAAGCAACGTGCGCGGGCAGTTTTCACTCCTGTTGCATGACTACGGAAACAAGACATTGGACATCGCATTGGACAAACTTCGGTTGACAACAGTGACGTCAGCGATCGCAGGCGTACTTAGGAACGAACACAACGACGGCTACATCAGAGGGCACGGCACATGCCAAGCGGGCAGGATGGCTAAACCGCTGCTGCTACCTTTGCAGGTTGGTGTACAGCCTTGTGCTGCTTGTTGCAAAAGTGACAGTAGATTCTTGATTGTCGTGCCGTGCCCTCAGCAATGTTGTTCTATTGTGGTTGAGTGTTGGTTGTCATTACTGCTGTTGTTAACTTCGGGGGATGTAGAAGAAAATCCGGGTCCCGAGACTGCTGAATTGTTTTAACTAATTTTAGATAACCAGAAGAATCTGATGAGAAGGTGAACGCGATTATAAAAAGTTGCTGAACTTAATGAAAAGTCAGAAAGAATGAATAGCTATCCTAATGCCATGCAGGATATGCAA